ATTTAATTTGTAAATAGTGTAATTGCACTACTCGCGATAAGTAAAACTTAAAGCGCATATTCACGTTGAATGATGGTACGTGCACGCACTCTGTGCGATTAGGTATGCAAAAAATAGTAAAAAAATAAATCGTCATTTATTAAAGTACGACACATTGAAGAATGCCTATCATTTAAATTGTGGTCAGTGTAATTATGTCACGAATAGCATAAAAAGCATAAAACATGAGGGAGTGTCGGCGAGTTGTTGTCCACTTGTGCGAGTGCGCTAGAAACTGAATGAAAAATTGTAATCTTTATTTGTAATTAGAAAATTAAGTTAATTGCGTGGTGAAGCTAATTCAAGACACCCCTGAAGTTCTTAAGAGAAACGCCTTTCAGGTAGTATAGGATTAAGGGGTTATATTTTCAAGTCTAAAAAAACGACATAATAAAATCAATTCATTTTCAAATTAGTACAATTTCACTTAAATACCAGTTAGAATAACCCAATGTTTACAAACCGCTCACCACCGATATGCGCTATTTGTTAATTATTCAGGAGCGCCTCTAGTGTTAATCTGAATGACGAATAGTTAATACGAGACTGTCAGTTTTGAACATTTGCCGCGTGATAGACGAAAAAAATATAGGTAGGTACTAAAAGTAGCATGAACATGTGGGCAATTTCCACAAGCGACAATCAAATGGAAGAATTAGTCTTCACGGTTAATCTTCCTATTTTTTAACTTGTCCCAAGCCTTCACTAGATAGCAATTGCATCGACCAAATTCCGCTCTGTTTTTAACAACATGACTGAGTCTAACCAAAGAGTACCCACTCTTTGGTCTAACTCTTGAATGTCACATACTGAATTTCTAAATTTCGAATATCTAATTCGCATCAAATGAGGCCAAAGGTGATATCCTTTGGGCTCATTTGTTTCAGCCGTTTTACAATAGGACAGATTTTCGCGAATAAATATGGTGCCAACGTAATGGTAATTAAGTATCTACTATTTAGTGATACTTCTTTAGAATGGCTATTGAGATTGAAGATACCATACCAGTACTGTTTCCCGTACACGAGCTCGAGCATAACTCAAAAATTGTGCTGTGCTTTACGTGCTACGTGCGTAAAATTGCTATCGGCTCACTAGCGTTGTAGAATTACAAAAATCGAAAAGAAAAAAATAACAAGTTACGAAACAGCGTCCTTTGGAGATACTGATTCAGTGATCCTTAATCATGCTCCCGCTGTTCCCCATAAAAGATGTCATGGTGTAAATAAAGTTGTCGTTGATTCTAGTCCAGCTTGGGCAGAGCTTTATGGTAGACGACTAGTTTTTTTTTTAACTAGCCGTAATAGACTATACGTATTGTCTTTTAAAAGACCGCACGATGGTAAAAGCAAGCTATTACAAGACGCGTGAATGAATGGAAGAAAAATAACATGAAATGTCAGAAAGAGGCGCTCACGTGCAACAAACACGTTCTTGATACCTTCATCGACTTTCATAATGTGATATATGCCACCTGTGGAAGCGCAAAGGGAAATACAATGTCGAGGTGAAAGGTTACGTTTGATAAATTGTCGAAGACGCTAGTTTCCACGCATTCGTCAGTTTGTCATGGGGTCACCGTACCATTTCATTTGTCTTCATTCGATGGTGTCGGTGGTAGCTCGAGCGTGAAGAGGAACGTTCGTGATATTGAGCAATCGTCATTTTTATTTATTAATACACTCTATAATCGAGTAACGGGAACGTAACTTAATCCCGTGCACAATTAAAATCGCGCCTTAATTGGTGTCGTGTATCTTTTCAACTTCACTTATTTTGCCACTATCCATGTAATTAAAATACCAGGAAAAGTTTTGCGTTACGAAGTTTGGGTGACGTTGAGTAGTGGGTACCTAGTAGTAAGTGAGGTGTAATGTAATTTATGTAATGCATCTCTACCACTGTGATGAACCGTGTAAACCGATAACTGGGCAAACAGAATCGAATCGGGAGTATCCCTTTATCCCCAAACGGCGACGTTGGTAATTAACGACTACTGACCCCCTTCAGCTGCTCATGCCGATCCCTTTTGAGAGTGGAAACATACGGACCTCTCACTTCCTATCTCGTCAACCTGTCACCATTTACAATTCTACCCGTACGTGCCGGGGGTTTTCATGCGAACTCTACCGTACCGAACCAGTTTGTTTGTTCAAGTTGCCCTTTAGCTACTACATTCATTTTGTGTTTTAATTTACGTTTCATAGTAGTCCACGCTGCTGACATCCGCGAAAATCGACTTTTATTAAAATGTTTCGATACCAATCGCATGGTATACGTTTTGTGTTTGACTATTTTCCTCTCCAGGTTTTTACACGTTGAATACGTTTTTCATAAAACTCTCACGCGAATTGAAGCCCGAATTTGAGGTTTTCGCTATTAAAACTCATTCCAATTGCGGTAAAGTTGTCGTATTTCAGCGCCTAAACTGATCACAGTCTGTGAAACAAATACCTTCTAGTATTAATTTCGTATATGATTTTAGAGTAGGTTCAGACCGGGGCTTGTACATAAATTTGAAAACAGGAATTTTATCGATAACCATTATACCTTTGTTGTTCTGTTACGCAAGGTAACAAACGCGTTTTATGTTTTATGTTGTGAAAAAGGGTTGTTAAAAAAGAGACGCAGAAACAAATTTATACAAAAAAAAAAAAAATAAAAACGATTAGGAAATTCCTTTAGCGAGGAAACCATTTACGCTCGTATAACTTTTACAACCTTTTGAAAGGTAGCATTTTTATTTTTTGTTTTCGGTTCGACAACGTCGCACGCTCATTTCGTTAAACGTCTCTAAATACAGATGCCAAATCGATTACTAATAAATTACGTGTTGGCAGAAGAACTCGGTCAGTCAGAGGAATATCCGAAATGCATTAGGAAACGTCTTGGGAGCGTATGCGACCCGTTTAATCGTTAGTTGCTTTTGCAATTGCTTTGGTCAGCATATTAGGGCTGAATGCTGATCAAGTTTAAGTCCTCAATCTGAATTTCCTTAGGGAGCGTGGATGATATAGAAACAACATAATGTTTTTGTAACTGATGCAGCAACGCGCGAAAGTGAGTGGTGATCAATTTTTGAGGGATTCTGCATCTGAACGCGCGATAGCTATTTAACACAATGACTTCATCGGAAACACTCAAATTTGAACAGGAATAAGGTGAAATATTTTTACCCAAATCTCCATTTTCGAAAACGTAAATGCTGCTCTATTGCGATAATCTGATACCCATGCACCCATTTTAGAATTGAACCGGCCCTTGTAATTAACGTCATCTTCACGAAATACAGGGTGTTCCGCGAGGAAGGGGACAAAACTGTACTACGCGTTCCTTAGGTGACTTCGTGTCGAAAGTGTTTTGTGAACATGCAAATGTAAATGGTTCATTATCGAGATGTTGTAGCGTATATGTTGTTTATTTATATAGAATGAACTGACAATAAACAATCTTAAAATGTATTAACTTATAACAGTGCGATTATTATTTATTATTTACAATTTATAACATAACACAAGCTCATCGAAGTTAGAACTGACTCGAAACACAATTTGAAACAATAATCTTTCTAGAATGTTCTCGAGTGTTCAAGGACCCTTCCGAAAGTTCTAGAATCTAGAACAAGCATACATAATATTTTCCTGAAAAATTGCGTCACATTCACCTTCATTCTTTATCGCCGATATCTTTAATGGCGCTTCGATGTCTATTGGGATTTCCCGGAATATTCACTACTCACCCCCCCCCCCCCCCTTAAAACGGCCCTAGTGGAGACACAGTGTCAGACAACTCTTGCCCTATAACGTGAACTTGATGGCGGTACTTGCACAACGACCCTCTTGTGCATTTTCCATTGTGGGGAGGGGGGGGGGGGGGTTCTGAGGTTTGTTTATCGTATGGTTGGCACGTCTGCGTAACCTATCGACAGTCATGGTATCAATGCTGGTAAGCAGCACTTAACACCACCAGTGTAACCTAAATTACGTTGGTTATTTAAGTATTTAAAATTAAGTGCAAGTGAATTACAGTTATAATTAAATCCATTTTAAGACGGTTATAAATTTATTAACATAACACAAGCGCATTCAAGTTGGATCTGCCTCGAAACACAATTCGATTTCTTTATAGAGCAAACAACATTCTTTCTATCATGTTCTCGAGTGCACAATGACGCTTCAGGATATTCGAAAACAAACACGTCATATTTATCGCCGATGACTAATCTTTCATGGCGCGTCGATGTTTATCGGGATTTCTGGAATATTCGCTACAATATGATTTTTTAAATTTAAAATAGTATTACGTAAATATATAGTGTGTCATGTCTATACTATGCTTACAATGTGATGGTGGACACTTGGAGCAATTATTATAAAGATTTATTTTCATAACTAATATTATTTTTTGGTTAAATTAAATAATTTTCCAACCGTAAGAATACGGTTTAGGTCCCATGAAAATTATTTAAAAAAAAATCTCGATAACGAAGCATTTGCGAACCCATTTCGTAGGACGTTTTCCACTCGAGAAACACGTAGTAAAATGTTGTACCTTTCCTTACGGGACACCCTATATGTAATTATTTATCCTTTAAATATGATTCTGATTCTTTAAATTCTCCAAATTCGTCCGGTTCTTCGGATCCTGCGGCTGTTTCAAATTCTTCAATTTCTTCAAGTTTTCAATTTCGTGATGGGAACTTTGTAACTGTGCCTGTTTACCTCTTCCTCGAAAAAAAAATAGAAAATTGCTATTTTTCCAATTGATTGAAACAAAAATGCACAATGGTGTGCTCATTTCTACGAATGGAAAGAACTTACTTGCAGTCCTCCAACACCGAGGTCCTGAAAGTCTTTGATCTTGCTGAAAAAAAAACCTATTTGTAAAACTGAATAACAGACGGAAATCAAAGAGAGAAAGTCGTAACGAATGGCGCTGCATATCTTTTTCTTTTGGCTAAATGTTCTTAAAAGGTATTTTTATTCACTGTATCAGATATTCCAAAATCTTGCCCGGTACCTTCCGAACAGCATTCTCTGTACAGAGCGATACACTGGTGTATTTATATTTAGCTTAGGTAAGTACATTATTGAACCTCACTAATACAAGAAACATGTCCGTCAACAGACATTTAAAGTTTACCCCTGTAATAACAACTTCTGTTGAATGTAAAAGTCTAATTGTTAGTTCCAATCGCTATGTTTAGGCCCGAAGAAGCTTAACTTGTTATCTACGTATCCTACGTTACTAATTTAGGGCTACCGTACTTAATCAATTTTTCTGATATCCAACCGTATACCATTTGCACTTTTAGTAATAAAAGCCTTCGGTTTAACAGTTATTGGTATTTCCGTTAAGTGATTAGTGGAAAATTCGAAATTAAGGAGCAGTTTCGCCACGCATATTTTACTCTTCATCATTCCATACTTCATACCTAAAGATTGCGTTTTGTTTGTATTTGATAATTGTAATGGTAATTTGTTACCTATGCACATTCGGGGACCAAAGCCAAAAGGTGTCCATGCACATGGATGGCGACCGGCACAGTTTTCCTTTGAGAACCGTTCTGGATCAAACCGCTCTGGATCGGGAAATATGTTTGGATCCATGTGAGAACCGCTAGTTGGCACGAATACATGTGTTCCTGGTTCCAGAAGGATGTCTGTGTTTGGAATTATGTACGGTTTGGTACACTCTCTACTGTGAGCGGCAGATGGAGAATATTTGCGCAGAGATTCTGAAAGGAGACGGTGTAAAAGGTGCGGTTACGAAATGCATACCTTTGAGGCATTGTTCGACGTAGTTCAATTCGTTGACGACGTCATAGCAAAAGTCGCCATTGTGCAATGCTAGAACATCGACTACCTCGCGCCTGGCTCTTTCTTGAAGATCTGGCTTAAGCGCGAGTTCATATAAACAAAAAGAAACTGCAGAAGCTACGGTCTCGTAATCCGCAATTGCTATAATGAGACAATTTGCTGCGATCTGGGAAGAAGATAGTAAAGGTTTGATTTTACTTTCTTGAAGAATTTGGCCGCTGGTTTCATTTATATCGACGTTATTTCTTAACTGAATGAGTAAATGTATAAGATCGTCACGGACGATGTTATTCTCTTCTCTAAATTTGATGATGTCTCCGGACAATTTTAAGAAATAGTCACTCACGTCTTTTCTTACCGATCTCGCTCTAACGTACGTGAGCATACTAGGATTAAAGAACGTTAGCAATGCGATTAACAAATCCAATGGAGACTTATTAAAGAAGCATTTTAAATAGTATTCAAATTCGGTAGTGGGACCGTATATTTGGTCATTCTCCATGCCAAAAATGGCGGCCTCTGTCAAACGAATCATATACTTCTCTATCACCTCACTTATTTCAATAATTGTCTTGTCACGATAATTGTGGGTTAATTCTTCAATTAGTTTATCCGTATATGCCAGCACTTTCTGACTCATCATTTTGCTTTTTGCTATAGAGAAAGCCGGAGTGAGTTGCGTACGTAACTGCTTCCACTTTTCTCCTTTGGCCGATGCTATTTGGTCACTTAGAGGATCTGATTCGTGGTTATGAAATATGCGATCGGTAAAATGCTCAAAATCGGTACTCATAATATCTTTAATTAAATCCAAATCCGCGAGCACCAAACAAGGTTTCATCATAAAGTAAAATCCGCTCATTTTTTGTGAATTCCGCCGGCAGTCGTCATAAACTTTCTTAAACAAGTCTCGAATTGCACCTTTGCCTGTAAGTAAAGGCTTTGCGTTTCCAAAAATGATGTGCGGTTTAGAAAATACGTAAACTCCCTTTTTTTCCCAGTAGGTGTAGAGGTGCTTAAGGTACAATACTATTCCAATTACACCTAACACTAGCAAGAACAAAACTTCGTAAACTACACCCATTTTTCACCAATTTGGTCCCACACGGGAACACGAGAATGTTTTAAATACTTAGCTCAATGCGTATTCGTAAACAAGCGGCTGGTGTTGATGAACTAAGATATCACGTAAAATATTGCGCTAACTACTGTCCTATCATTATACGTGATGATAAGGAATAATTCATGTATGTACTTACTTATTTGATACTATTGCTTAAAATATAATGGCCTTGTCTTATAAAGTATCAAAATCTCCGTCTTAACTTTGAATTATCATGAGAATATGGTAATTAATGGCAAGGAAGTGAATAAAATTTCCTGCATTCCCAATCTCTAGACCAACATTTTCCAAGGGCACTGGTAAATAATTACAAATAATTTTCTTATGTTGGCGTTGGTTGGTAACAGCCTGCAGGTGAAGGGAGTGTTTGTCTGTGACCGGGGGGCAGCGGCGCCGTTAGACTTTAGGAGGTCTAAGGCAAAATGCGTCGAGGAGGCCTATGTTAGATATGGTAGATAGGGTATAGTTAGTCCTTCAAAATGTGGTTCTCGGGAAGAAAATGATATAATATCTTCGAGGGTATCATTGTACAGATTTGATAACATAAAGGTAAATTTCAAAAATCTAGTTTCTAAATTTGCATTTTTAAGGAAGATTTTTACAGTCTTTGTAATTATGGCTAAATGGCATAGATTTCCTGTAAAATGCTAACAAAAAATGCAGTTTTAAGGGGTTCTCACCCCCTCTCCTGGTAGGGAAGTATCTCCATTCTAAAATTTCGGTTTGGACCAATGGTCATCTGTTTCAAGTTTGCTAGTCATCAAAAAGCGCGGGTCAATAAATAGGTATAATTAAATATTCTGATGCAGACGGCTACGGCAATGAGAGAGTGGGAGTCGCATATTTTTTTAGACAAAAAATGTTGTATGCTCTTTTGACTGGTCATCTTGTGTAAAATATTAGTGTTTTGGTGAAATCAAATCATCTTCAAAGATGTTTTTTCGGCTATTGATCGAATTCGGCAAGTGCTTACAACATACAAAAACAATCCCTCTAAAAGTTATAACTTTATTGGTGTATTACACCCACACAATAACATTTCGGACACCGGCGCAAGACCTAAGTTCTATGCCTTTAGTTGCCTTACCATTTCGCCCAACTAGCATTTTCATATTTTATAATAGTTTCCAAAACGTTTCCGGCACAAAAATTATAAAACAACAGTACTCTCAGAAACGTTTTCAAAATGTGTATAAGACAGCTATAAGTATAAAATTGGCGCCACTTTATCAAGCATTTCAGTTTTGGTTAGTAATTTTGTAAAAGCTTTTGAAACATAACAAAATTATTGTATAAACATTTCGTCAAATCGTATAAAAACTTTAAAAAAACATTATACCTACAACAGTTTTGTTAAAGATTTTTATACGACGCTATATAAAATATACTTTATAAACCTATATAAACATTTCTACAAAACAACTACAATTATAAAATAAAAATGCTTTTAATGATGTTCTGATTTGCTGCAACAAGCAATTTTGATTTGGGCAAAGGGAAATTGAATGACCCCTGACAATAGCAAACAGCCATTTTAATTTTTTATTTTTTTAATCTATAATTTAGAAACTTATTTGTGCTACAGAGAATATAATTTTTGATGCGTGGGAAATTTTATTGAGAAATGTATATCATATATCTAACATTTAAGCGCGCCCTGTATTTTCCAGTGTTTTGAGAAAATTTTTCAAATAACCAAAAAAACATCCTCCTCAATATGATAATTTTCTACTTATGTTGCAGTGATAACTGTTGATAATTTTTACATCTTTACCTCCCGCAAATGTCGTGATATTTATATTTAGTATTTTCAATTCAACGAACTACGATTCCTTGGGTTGCACCTATTTTAAAATAAGGTTTTCTATAAAATAATTCACTTTTAGGCGCAACCATTATAAAACAATTTAAATTACTAGGCAACTCTTATAAAATATTGTGTTCAGGTCTCTTAATGAATAGGCGGTGAAAAAACCAACTGTTTCTTGTTTATAGTAATAAGAGCGGCTATATTGCTAAATGGCAACATTTTTGCTAATTTACGATCTTTTGGCGACTGTAAAAAAGCCCCTGATACATTTTAATACCGCACGCGACTTTTACACGGTATGTTTTTGAAGCAGATCCTTAGTGATATTGGTGTTTTTTTCGAGTCATTTATTGTGTCTAGATTTGTTTCATATACTCTATTTTTTACAAACCCCCATCACAAGAAAACAAAATCGAGTGGTGTAAGATCAGGAATGTGTTTCTGGTGAACCTGGACAGGGGCTGCAATTTAAAAATGTAGGGGTTATCACCCCCCAACAAAACTCCCCAGTGTATGAAAGTTCTAAACCATCTAAAATGCAATTTTTATGACCCGATATCTTCATCGCGAAATTTTCAGATTTTTTCTTTGAAGTTTTTATATAGCTCCATCCAGGAAACCCTGTATAACTACGTACTTACTTATATATTATATAGTGTCTGAACTGTGAGTACAATGATTTCTCTCCATTTGTTTTAAAAGGGGAAAAGTTTAAGTAGCGAATATTTTAGAAATCGCGATAGACATAGATGCGCCTATTATTCCCTCTATCGCCGTTTTCTTCAAATTACAGTTTTTATATGAGTCACTAGAATTGTTCCACCGACATTCATTCTGTTCATAAAGATTATAAATTTAATGATTTTACTTCCAGTCCAATTTACTTTAGACCTTTTGCCTGTTTTTTTTTACAAACAACAGAAATATCTGTTTCAATCGATTGTCAACTAATTCTCGAGTGTTTAGACGGTCGACTGCGAGTTGAAACGACCGAGTTGTTCCACCAAAAGTAGCCATAAAGTCAACTTCTAGTTGAACAACCGGTAGTCACTCGGCTCGGTTGAAAATCGGGTTTACATGGGCGATCGTAGGCGACTTTCAGTCGATCAACTTAGTCGTTCGACCAGAAGTGGCCTAATGTAAACGCCACTTTACTGTACATTATTGTAGTTCCGGGGTCATCTTTGAGCCGTTCCTGTTGCTTGCTGCGTGGGTTCCATGTTGCAGTGGGAGCGCTTCGGGCAGGGGTAGTCGCACTTTCGTGTGCTGCAATTTGCTTCTTCTTGTCAACTGAGAAATTTGTGCGTGGTGTTTTTTTAAAGTTCAATGTGTTCTTTGAGGGACTTCATTAGATATTGCTGATTATTAATTATAACATCTTAGCAGATCTTAGTTACTTACTATCTCCTACTCCTATAGATAGGTAAATAATTTTCGTTATGTACGTATTATTATACTGGTGTATTTATATTTTGCTTAGGTAAGTAGGTAAATACATTTTTTAATCTATCTTAATACTTGTCCATCAACAAGATATTTAAAGTTTACCTGTAATAACAACTTTTGTTGAATGTAAGAGTATAAAAATCGTAAGTGTCAATCGCTCTGCTTAGGTCCGAGGCCGAGTTACCTACGTATCCTATACGTCACTAATGTAGTGCTATCGTGATTAATCAATTTTTCTGATACCCAACCGTATACCATTTGCACTATTAGTAATAAAAGCCTTCGGTTTAACAGTTATTGGTATTTCCGTTAAGTGATTAGTGGAAAATTCGAAATTAAGGAGCAGTTTCGCCACGCATATTTTACTCTTCATCATTCCATACTTCATACCTAAAGATTGCGTTTCTTTTGGTTATGTATTTTCTGTGATAAAGTAATTTGTTACCTATGCACATTCGGGGACCAAAGCCAAAAGGTGTCCATGCACATGGATGGCGACCGGCACAGTTTTCCTTTGAGAACCGTTCTGGATCGAACCGCTCCGGCTCGGGAAATATGTTTGGATCCATCTGAGGACCGCTAGTTGGCACGAATACAAGTGTTCCGGGTTCCAGAAGGATGTCTGTGTTTGGAATTATGTACGGTTTGGTACACTCTCTACTGTGAGCGGGAGTTGGAGAATATTTGCGCAGAGATTCTAAAAAGAGACGGTGTAAAAAGTGCGTTTGCGAAATGCATACCTTTGAGGCATTGTTCGACGTAGATCAATTCGTTGACGACGTCATAGCAAAAGTCGCCATTGTGCAATGCTAGAACGTCGACTACTTCGCGCCTGGCTCTTTCTTGAACATCTGGGTTAAGCGCGAGTTCATATAAACAAAAAGAAATTGCAGAAGCTAAGGTCTCGTAATCCGCAATGGCTATAATGAGACAATTTGCTGCGATCTGGGAAGAAGATAGTAGAGGTTTGATTTTACTTTCTTGACGAATTTGGCCGCTGGTTTCATTTATATCGACGTTATTTCTCAACTGAATGAGTAAATGTATAAGGTCGTCACGGACGATGTTATTCTCTTCTCTAAATTTGATGATGTCTGCGGACAATTTTAAGAAATAGTCACCCACGTCTTTTCTTACCGATCTCGCTCTAACGTACGTGAGCATACTAGGATTAAAGAACGTTAGCAATGCGATTAACAAATCCAATGGAGACTTATTAAAGAAGCATTTTAAATAGTATTCAAATTCGGTGGTGGGACCGTATATTTGGTCATTCTCCATGCCAAAAATGGCGGCCTCTGTCAAACGAATCATATACTTCTCTATCACCTCACTTATTTCAATAATTGTCTTGTCACGATAATTGTGGGTTAATTCTTCAATTAGTTTATCCGTATATGCCAGCACTTTCTGACTCATCATTTTGCTTTTTGCTATAGAAAAAGCCGGAGTGAGTTGCGACCGTAGCTGTTTCCACTTTTCTCCTTTGGCGGATGCTATTTGATCACTTAGCGGATCTGATTCGTGGTTATGAAATATGCGATCGGTAAAATGCTCAAAATCGGTACTCATAATATCTTTAATTAAATCTAAATCCGCGAGCACCAGACAAGGTTTCATCATAAAGTAAAATCCGCTCATTTTTTGTGAATTCCGTCGGCAGTCGTCATAAACTTCCTTAAACAAGTCTCGAATTGCACCTTTGCCTGTAAGTAAAGGCTTTGCGTTTCCAAAAATGATGTGCGGCTTAGAAGACACGTAAACTCCCTTTTTTTCCCAGAAGGTGTAGAGGTGCTTAAGGTACAATACTATTCCAATTACACCTAACACTAGCAAGA